TGAAATTATTAAATTAAATATTCAAAATTGCTAATATTTAACCTTTTTTTAACTACTAAAAGTGATTTCATGCGGTTCAACCTCTGATCCTGTGTTCTAGATTACCTTCCCAAAGCTGCCTTCACAAAGCTATTAAGTCCACAAAATCCAAATCAAGGAGCAACAGAGAAATGCTCAGACAGAGATGGGAATTCAGTTCTAAACTTTTGTTGCTTCCCAGTCTACATTTCATGTTTTATTAAAAATAGTAACTGAAATACATTATCCTTATGGGTATCAAGTTCACTTGTCAGTAAAGCATAAGTTCAGGATGGTCCTATGCTGTAGTCACGTCTCAGGGCAGGCATTTTGCTAAAGGCATAGATCATTTGTTGGCTCAGTGATTGGAAGCAGTTCAGAGAAGACTCTTCAATAGGATCACATGTTCAAAAGTAGGAATAAAGCAGTGAGAACTCCAGGATCTTTGGGAAGATATTGTAAGGAATGTAATAAATTGTAGAGGATGTGGAAGGAGAGGCATTTACTGGAGCTATGCAGCAGTCTTACTAGACGACGCTCCCTGCTGCCTCTCTTTTTTTTTTTTTTTTTTTAATAGAGTGCATCAAAGAGACAGAGTCCCAGAGCACAAGGGCGCCAGTCTGGATCCTTCCTCTTGTCTTTATTGCCACAACCTCAGATGTGTCACTAATGGAATAAAGCTTTCAAGTGAGGAGGAAGATCAATAAAGATTTCATAAGGCTAGCAAAGACTTACTGAACACAATAGTATGCAGCTCAATTAGTTTTCTTTTTTTTAAAATGAAAGAAGAGATTTAAATAATATTGGAAAGTCACCCAAATTACATGAAGTAGTGTTTTTAAGTCTAAACATGATAGATATAGCTATCTGCTAGTCCTATCTGCTAATTACCTAAGATTTCCAAATTTTTTAATTTTGGGAATCTGAAAACGAATAAATTCCTGTATTCATTGTGTTCTTCAGTAGTGAAGTTTTTTGTATTTTGTCTTTAAAAATTACTCTGTGGAGATTTTATTTTTCTGTCATCACATTTGAGGGTTTTTTTTTTTTTTTTTCTTTAAGGCTCATTTTTGTTTTACTTTTAGTAAAGGACATTGCATCGTAGAAAACAATCATCTCTCCAAACTGCAGAAAGAGTGCTTATTACCCCTTCCTGAGCCAGGGCAAGCCCTAAAAAAATCATACCTGAGGCCCCAGGGGATACAGTCATTTCTCCTCTTGTGGTAGCTGAGCTGAAACCAGTGCCTCACCCAGACTTTCATCCTACATTGGTCACTTGCTCCCCAAGTTACCCTAGATTTGCTTTCCCACAAAGCTCTGATGAAATAGAAATCCAGTTTCCTACGTGTGTAGGGAATAGGGAAGAGCCAAAGATACTCTCTATGCTTTACTGAACCTTGCTGCAGGCCAGACTGTGCGCTGCCCTTCTGTACATTATCTCATTTCATTTCCAGAACTCAGAAACTGGTTTCCCCTTTTACAGATAGGGAAATTAAGACTTACTTTATTTAGTGACGTACTGAGGATTCACAGTTCACAAGGGACAGAGCCTTATTAACAGCCAACGGGCACCGATTGAGCGTGGAATGCCCAGGACTCTGGAAGAGCATGGAAGTTGGGGGAAGAGACTTTCTGGTCACTCATCAAGTAAGAACCAGGGTGCAAGATCTGAACCCAGGTTTCCCTGTGTCTTGGGCTCTTACCATGACACACACAGTGTCCAACTGAATGATTAGAAACAAGTACTATGTAATCTTGAGCTAAACAAGTTGAGAATCTTTAAAACTTTTTTGTATTTTACTACATTTAACATGTCAGTTTTACATGAATATAGACATTTTTTCAGATGGATTTTAAATTTGTTTTGTGATGAGTGTGACTCCAAGGGTCTCCTGGATAGAAATGAATTCCCGACTTCCAGATGGTAATGAAGAGTGCAGGTAGACCTCTATGCACAACTAGAGTTCAGGCAACGAAAGTCAGAGATAGACAGATTCAAGTAACCAAGCCTCCAGTTTAATTAAATTACTTTTTGACATGAATTGCAGCATAATAAAGCAAATTACAGTCAAAGGAAAGCTTTTTATCATGGCTTATTCAGAAAAGTGACTCATACTGAACATGTTTTGGGGTCTTGCTTATGTCCTTCATGGTCCAATTGTTGCATGATATTCAGTTAGTGTTGATGTTTGCTGTCAGGACTTGGGGAACTAGAGAGTCCATTCACCAGATAAAGATGAAATAATGTCTAACTCATCCAGGCATGACAGACATGAAAACATTTTAACTGTATTCTAAACCAATGGTGCCTATTATCTTTAAGTTTCCTAAGAATAATACATAGAATATTCCTGAACATCTTGGGTAATTAAGGCTTTACTTTCTGTGCACTGGTAGTGGTGATAAAACAAAATTAGAATCTACTCCCTCCAAATCCCTGTGGCACTCTACCTTCTGTTTAAGTTTTTACTTCTTTATGAATGTTTGAAAGATTAGCTTTTAAAATAAGGGAAGACTGGACATAGTGGCACACGCCTGTAATCCTAGTGGCTCTCTGGAGGCTGAGGCAGGAGGTTTGAGAGTTCAAAGCCAGCTTCAGCAATTTAGCAAGTCCTAAAACAACTTAGTGAGAGCTTATCTCTAAATAAAATATTTTAAAAAGGCTGGGGATTTCGCTCAGTGGGTTAAGTGCCCCTGAGTTTAATCCCTAGTACTAAAAACAAATAAATAAAATAAGAGGAGAACTTGCTGTATCCCAGTAAGCAACTAGGTTTCCACCATACTGTTTTGGTCTTTTGGGGTGCTTCTAAAGTTGAGATTGAAGGTCAAGACAAACCGATCATTGCTTCCAGACCTCTCCGTGGTGACTGCTCACCACATGATTTTGGCGAGTGGGCTGAGGGCGAACATTAAGGAATTTCAGAGCAGTCCGGCCTTCTGCTTCCCCTCCTGGGTCAGTGTCCACTCATACGTGTCTTGTTTGTCCCCTTCCCCCAGCACCAGTGTGAGTGATCCTTTCCCTGGGGTAAATTGCCAGGCAAAATTTCCTTACGCGCGGCAAAGTCGTATTAGAAACCACTGGCTGGGGCCTTTTGTGGTTGAAGTTTGGATTTGCTGTCTGCCTGTTCTCTACTGAATCTTTACAATACTCATCCCTGCAAATAAGGTAAAAGAGCTCAAGCATATGAAACTTAAGCCAGTAATCAACATTGTGGTGAAAGCTGTTATTTGAAACAAAGAAGTTGTTTGAAACTGGCAGTTAGAACAGTTTTGTAAGATACGATTTAGTCTCTGGTTTTCCATGCCGTAAACACTATATGTAATAGAAATACAGCCATAAAAATTCAGTATTTACCTTGTTTAGAGGGCAAAGAGTGGGTCTCTATAGTTCACCTGTAGATTTTTAAAGTACATCTTGGGATCCATTTTTATCATTAGTCTTTCTGAAACATAATTATTTATGATACACTTTTAACTTCAAAAATTTGGATCCCAGTTTTCCAGGTAATATATCCAGTGCTGCTGTTAGCTGAGTGAGGAAGTCAGAAATATGTAATATGTCAGTGAGAAAGGGCTACAGGTGAGGAGAGATGGGTGATGGGGTGCCGTTTTTAAATATAACTCTATTATCCCAATTGAGCAGAGATGCAAAGAAAGTGAAGGAGAGATTTGTGTTGTTACCTGGAAGAAGAGCCTTTGGGGTATGTGCTAAGTCTTGAGATAGACTGCAAATTCAAGTCTAGCAGAGTAATAGGAAAAGTGATTAAAGATAAAGGTCAAGCCATACAGTACCTTTCATGCCAGGTAGAGACCTTGGATTTTATTCTGGGAGATATTGGAGAGTTTGGAGCAAAGGAACAGCATGGCATATTTTAAATGGGATCTTTAACTGAAGATCTTTAACTGAAGGGCAGGATCAGATACACCTGATAAGAGGATATTGCATCTATGCCAGGTGGTGCATGCCTTAGCAACTCAGGAGGCTGAGGCAGGAGGATTGCAAATTCAAGGCCAGTCCTAGCAATTTAGAGAGACCTTCCCTCAAAAAAAAAAAAATAAATAAATAAAATGGGCTAGGGATGCAGCTCACTGGTAAAATAACCCTGGGTTCAATCCCTGGTACCAGCTCCCTGATTTCCCCGGCACCCAAAAAGAATACTGCAGACATTTGAGAAGAGATGATGCAAAAGGTGGGTGGTCAGATGCTTTTTAAGGTAGAGTTTAAAGAATCTACTAGTGGATTGAATGTAGGAAGTAAAAAGATAATCCAAAGATGACCCCAAGGCTTTGAGCCTGATCAGGTGGAAGAATGAAGAAGCCTTAGTTGAGGGGGATGCTGCACTTGGAGCAGTTTGTGGAGGCAGGAAAAATCAAGGGCTTGGTGTTGACATGATTTTTGAGGCAGAAGCAAGCATCCTTTGAAAGTATATTAAATCAAATGATACACGTGGGGACAACTTTAAACTTCCCCTTTTTAATAATCTTGTTGAGCTGGGGGTGTAGCTCAGTAGTAGAGGGCTTGCCTAGCAGCATGCCCAAGGCGCCCTGGGTTCAATCCCCAGCACCACAAATAAATACATAAATAATAATAGTCCTTGTTGTTGTACTTGATTGGAAACTTTTCCAAAATCCTATTAAATTATCTCTACTGGTTGGAATTTTAAAACTCCTAATGTATGGACTTTATAAGACCTGAGATCAAAGACCTTAGTGTCCAGTGGTGCTTCCTCATGGCTGCTTGATGTGTGAATTGGACAGACAGAATAAGAGCTCTTTGTGGAACCCCTAAGTGACACGTGAGCTGAGATCATTGACTTTTGGACATATCCTTCCCTACGTGAGGGTGGGAGTTGTAAGTGCTTCATTTTTTTCATTTCCTGAGTCTATTCTCTTACCTGATACAAAAGTGTTGACTGGGTAAATATTTCTGAATAAATTTCAAGAAACTAAATATATCTTGTCTCTCTTGTCTCCTTTTATAGCTCCTGATGGCAGTAAAGCGCAAGATAAGAAGAATGCTCCCAACCGCCCCTCCTCTACAGCTTCAGGACAAAATAGCATTCACTCAGGAAATAAACCAGGTACGACGCATTGCATTTACTTTGGGAAAATGTAGGTTATTTCAAAGGCCTTAGAGGCATGCTGAGGAATTATAAACTAAACTAGAGTTTAAGAGAGCTGGTTTCCAGTCCTGCCACCCAAACACACTCATGGGGATTTGTGAGTTGAAATCTGAGGGCCTCTCACAGGTTATTTGCTGGTTTACTCCCCCGTTGTCAGCTAGAGGGTGGGCATTGTGCCTTTTAACAAAATAACCCTAGTAAACTCATGAAGCCAACACTAGATGAATAAACGAGTTAGCAGGATATAAAGGTTTTCTCTCTTTAAAATGGAGATTCAGCTTCACGGCCTGCTTTCCTCACAGAATCATTTTGACAAGTCATTGAAATGATGTATGTGGATGCATTTGTTTACTGCCAAGTAGTGTTAAGAGGTAATAATTTTACTGTTCTGTTTGAAATGGTGTATACAACACAATTTTTTCCCCCAGCATTATTGCATATCTCTTTTGTGACTTAAAAAAAAAAAAAAAGAACCACTTAAAGAAATCTTCATGTAGTAAAGCTCACATAGAATTATGGTTTTGTTCCCTACAAAGCTTGCACACCTACATGGTAATTTCATTTTTAATAGCCTGTGATTCATGATCTGTTCCACTCGGTGATACAAAGAAGCAGTCTGTAAACAAATACAGTTGAATAGACAGAGCAGCTTATGGCAGATTCTTAGTAGGGATGAACATACAGTATGGCACTCAGATATTACAGGACGGTACAGCAAACTGAAGATCACTTGAAGTTTTTGGAATCCTACTTTATGCTATATTCAAGGCCAAAGAACAATAAATCACCCAAGAATAGTAAATTAGAATAAAGATATTTATAATTAGGTCTAGTCTCACAGAAAACATTCTCCTTTGTACTTTGGGATTTTTCCCCCCTCCAATGAGGAAATCATCTTGAACAGAATAGATAAACCAGGCTTGTCTTTTTGTTTGTTTGTTTGCTTTTGGGGAGGGCAGCATTGGAACTAGGGGCACTCTACCACTGAACTAGTCCCCAGCCTTTTTTCTTTTCTTTGTTTTGAGACAAGACCTTTCTCTGTTGCCCAGGCTGGCTTTAGACTCCTGAATAGGTAGAATTACACGTGTGTACAACCAGACCTAAATCAGTAAATCACCCAAGAATAGTAAATTAGAATTTACTATTATAAATGACAGCTGGCCTGTCATTTATAAGAAAGACAGTAACAATTGTTGTTGCAAGGGTTGCTTGAGCAGTTATTAGCAGGAAAGGATGTGCATTGTCAGCAGAGTTCTGATTCACAGGCTGCGATTTCCCCCTTTAGTCAGCTTGGCTCTCATTCATTCACTTATTAATCCATCTACTCACTTAACCCCTGGCTGCTATTTTGTTTTTACTGAGCAGATTCTTCTGTGCCTGGGAGTCTGAGAGGTACTGTATGCACAAACAACATGGCCCTGTAGAACTTATTCTAGCAGATTTTATTCCTTATACCCAGGTGAGAATCCTACTAGAAGAAGTTCTTTAGCACAAAAACCTCATTATTTAACAATGAGAATTGAACACAGCTAAATTGTAGCTCTCAGGTTCTCCCCATCCACCACTGCTTCTAACTTCTGGCATTCTTTACTGTGTAGTCAGTACCTATATATCCTGCTAACTCATTTATTCATCTAGTGTTGACATCATGAGTTTACCAGCGTTATTTTGTTCTGTACAGAACAGTCAGGGTTTCTGCATATCATCAAAGACAGGAGGAGACTGCAACTGCAACTTTACTTATACCAAAATCCTGTTTCTTTTTTTTAAAAAATTCTTTTTGTAGTTGTAGATGGACAGCAAACCTTTATTTTATTTATTTACTTATATACTTATTTTTATGGTGCTGGGGATTGAACCCAGGGCCTTGTGCGTAAGAAGCAAGCACTCTACCAACTGAGCTATGTTCCCAGCCCAAAATCCTGTTTCTTTTAAGCCCTTCTTTCTTCTGAGAATCAGTAACTTAATTTTATGCTAACGATTAAGATTCCATGTGGAATATACATAATGGTAAATTATTTTGTGTACCTTGATTTCATTTTCAGGGAAAATGATGTGGGAATGGAAACAAGAAAAAAGGCAATGTATTATAGAAAGTTTACTATTTACTTGAAATTCTTCAATTGTAATTTCTCCTTTTTGAAAACCTATCTTTAAGGACAACTTTTGTCAATTTTTAGTTATTAAAACTGAAATTTTAATCTCTAATGTTTAGAGTTTCAAAAGTCTTTTTGTAGTTGCATTGCCTCATCAGTCCAGGTTAATGGAAGCTTAATATCCTCCGTGAAGGCTGGCTGTGGTCGTTCAGTCATTCACTCAATAAATGCTTATTGAGTCTCTTCTTTTTGCCAGGCACAGGCCTAGGCATTGGGAATGCAGCAGTGAACAAGAGACCAGCCTCTGCCCGCCTCCACCTCCCATTTGTGTCTGTCACAGGTGTTAATGATATTCCCAGCCTTTTTTATTTGGGGACAGGGTTTAGCCAGTTGAACTTGCAATCCTACTTCAGCCTCCTAAATTTCTGGGGTTACAAGCTGGTTGTACTTTTGGACCAGGGATTAAAACCAGAGGTGCTTACTTAATCACTGATTATACATTTCAAAGGCACTTAAATGGGAAGCATTACATTGCATAATCAGGAGCTGCCTCATTACTGCAGGAGACCCAGGTCTTGTTATGGCTGTCAGTATTGGTGTGGGTAGGTGAGGACTTGCATGTTTTTCTTAATTATTTCTTATTTTTTGATACTGAGGATTGAGCCAAGGCACAGGATGCCACAGTTACATCTCCAGGCCTTTGTAATTTTTTTTTTTGGGGGGGGGAGTTGGTATTGAACTAGGATTGAACTCAGGGGCACTCAACCACTGAGCCACATCCTCAGCCCTATTTTGTATTTTATTTAGAGACAGGGTCTCTCTGAGTTGCTTAGCACCTTGTAGTTGCTGAGGCTGGCCTTGAACTCCTATCTCAGCTTCCCAAGATACTGGGATTACAGGAGTGTGCCACTGTGCAGGCTCCTTTGTATTTTTTGAGACAGAGTCTTGCTGAGTTACTTAGGGCCTCACTAAGTTGCTGAAGTTGGCCTTGAACTTGTGTTCCTCCAGCCTCAACCTCCTGAGTAACTGGGATTATGAACCATATGTTATTATTAATTCTTCACAAAATTTTGTATAATATTTAGCATGTACTTAAAAGAAAGTTAGGAATGGCACATTCTTTATTGATTTGTTGTCTATTGACAGAATTTGTCAGTGCAATTTAAAAAGTAAACTATTACAAACTTCAATGTGCTTATGATTTTTATAAACAAAGTTGATTTTCAACTTTTCTATTGAGTTTTAGAAGTAAACCTCATATTAGTTAGTGAATATTTTAGGTGACAAGTTAAAATTTGTCTTTCTAACTTTATCTTCAAGTTCTTTCTTTCTTCAAAATATCATTTTGCTTTCTCCAAAACCCAATAACCTAGTATGGTGGTGCATGTCTGTACCTAGAAGGCTGAGATAGAAAGGTCACAAATTCAAGGCCAGCCTGCATAACATAGTGAGACCCTGTCTCAAAATGTTTTATAAATGGCTGGGGATAAAGGTCAGCATCAGAACACTTGCCTGGCATGGGCAAGGACCTGGATTCAATTCCCAACACCACCAAAAAAAAAAACCCCAAAAAGCCCTTGACTGACCCTTAACAAATTGCCTGAGAAGGGACCACATGACCACTTTCCTGTTTCACAATTAAACCCTTTGGAGGCAGGTCCCTATTTTCCTACAGAAAGGTTAACCTAAAACTGAGCCTGGTGGTGCACACCTGAAGGCCCAGTTACTCCAGAGTTTCACTTGAGCCCAGGAGTTCCAGACTAGCCTGGGCAACATAGTAAGACCCCATCTCAATAGAAACAGACCAAAACAGGCATACCTAAAACCAAAAGCAAAGTGTAACATGGTCATCACCTGCCTTCTCATGAGTTCCACTGCCTGGTTTATGCAGGCTCCTGATAGGCTGCATAAACCTCAGTATGGATCCTGTTTGTTATTATACAGTTTTTCTTTCCTTTAAATTTACAAATTCTATGAAGTCATAGGCTTTTGGGTGCAAGGCTTTTAAATTTGTTAATGAAGCACTCCTATGTGGTCTCTAATGTGTGAGGCAGCTTCCTGTTTTGAACATGAGACCCTAAAAGTATGACATCAATTTAGTAGATAGAACAACCTGATTTTTAGTGTGATTATTGTTATTATTTGTTTCTATATGAGCCTGTAAAGGTAGCCCTCTGCTGGACAAATGGGGACACACATGCGCAGACACACAGGGCATCTCTGTATAATCCAAAATCCTTACTGTGCCCAGTGAGTCCAGTGACTTGGCCCTGTGTCTCCAGGCCCAGAGCCTGTTGATCTCACTCTGCTTGAGTCATTCAGATCTCCCTGTTTCTTGATCACATGAGGCACTTGTGACCTCAGGGCTTTTGCAGGGTTTTTGTGGAATATCTGCACAGCTGACTCCCTCATTTCCACCAAGTATATACACAAAAAAATTATCATCACATCAAGACCTTCCTTAGACCTCATCTAAAAATTTAAGCATCCTCTTCATAATGCTCTTTATTGCTTTGTTGTCGCCTTAGCATTTAACTCAATCTAACATTCTATGTCCTTTTCATTCTAGTTATTATTTTTTATTTATCTTGTTTATTAGATTTTTCCTGAGTAGGATGGTAAAGCCCATGAGGACTGAGGTTTTCATCTTTATGTTGGCTGCTATATTTCTCAGTATACAGAACAGTGTCTGGAACTTAGTAAATATTTCATGTGAGTTGAATGAATAAGTTGATTTCCTGGGCATTACATGCTAAGCATTATACCGATGCTCACTATCTTTATGATGATGTGAGATTGGTTCTGTTTTTGTCCTCATTTTTACAGGTAATAAATAAAAACTATGTCATAGCTTGAGGAGGGTAAGTAGTGTGACTGTATTTATATACCAAGTGACAGAATAGAAACTGAGTTCCTGTCAGGCTGATTCTAGTCACTTCTAACTAGTAAACACCTGCTCAGTATCAACTCAGTATGGATCCTGTTTGTTATTAAGAAACAAATTTTTTGATATTGAAAGCATAAAAATAATAGAAGTTTCATAGAAACACAAAACATCATTTATATTTTTGGATGAAATAGCAAAAAAGCCACAAATAAATTATGACCTTACATTGTTTTTATTTTATATTTTGGTGTTGCTGAGTATCAAACCCAGGACCTTGTGCATGCTAAGCAGGTGCCCTACCACTGAGCTATACCCCCAATCCCACATAATGCTTTTAAATAGAAGAAAAATGCTTTGGAATTCTCAGAAGAGTTATAATATTCAAGGTATCACTGTAACTAAGGACACATGTACTGACTGTTCTAAAACATAAAGTGATATTTCATTCATCACATTAATGAGACCAAAGAATATTTTAACATATATTTTTTTAAAAAACCATTCTTTCTCTCATATATATTTTTTTGTCTTACTTTCAGACCTTCCACTTGTGCTACGGGTTGATGACCGGCAGCGGCTGGCCCGGGAGCGACGCGAGGAACGGGAAAAGCAGCTAGGTACCCCAGACCCCCATCCCCAGCCTCATGTGGTCATTGGGGGACATTCTTATTGACATGTCACACTTTCTTCTCCGGGACAAGGGACACTTGACACTGGGCAAATGGAAGTCGCTGTAACAACCATGCTGTCTTGCACACCTTTATGAAGATTGTGAAGCTGAGTTTAGCATGTGATAAAAACACAGGGTAGTGTTAAATAACAGCAGGCTCCAGCCCCGGGATTAGGGAGCTCATTCATTTCTTAGTACATTGTAATCACAGTGTATCATGGGGCCCCACAGGGCGTGCACTTAGGAGAGGGGTGATGGTGTTACTTACATTTTAAAGCTGAGAATAAACAAGGACAGTAAACAGTTGGTTCTGTTTTCTGACAAGTTTGAGACTATGCGCTGCTGGGGCACTTAGTGGTCCATGTTAAAGCAATGCTGCTGTTGAATTTATAGGCAGAAGCATGAGAGGGATTTTCTCCTATTACCAGAGGCCCTTGTGAATCGGGCTCAGTGGCTCTGATATTTGACTGCAGTCTCTTGGCAAACTGAATCAGGACTAGCTTACCAGAAAATGGAGACCTGAACACTGGGGCAGAACAGTCACTCTCTCTAGAACCTTGGGCAAGGAAGCTGGCACCAGCTCCCCTTCACTTGATGTCCATTTATACGGTTGCTGGAACAGGATACTCTGTTTATGTACCTTGAAAAGATAAAATGCCAGGTCAGTGTGTCCAGAATGTGTAGGCATTTAAAACAAAGACTCACTAAGGTTGCCAAAATCTTCCCAGAGTATGGCCCATAACTTTTTTGAAGTCCTGCAGCCTCAGAGAGGTAACATTCCTACCGTTACACAGAGGAGACCAACCCCGATGTCTCATCCCTTTATTATTCCTTTTTGAGAACCTAGACTTTTCGAATTGTGTGGACGCTGGTTTTCAAGTCTGTTGGCACGGCTCGCAGCTTTCCACACAGGCCTACTCCTCTCCCTTGCTGTAATGGCCAGGTGAGGCCATCTCTTCTGCTGCCAAACTTTTTTAGACACAGATTTCAATAAGTTGGTGGAAATGAAAAGGCTCTACTGTTTTTCTGAGGCTGGTGTTTCCTCCCAGGCCTAATGTTCCCTGTCCCTAATGGGTTTCCAGCAGGCAGGCAGGCAGGTTCCAGGGAAGCAGCCGGGCCATGGCCTTGAGGCTTCCTTTCTCCTGGGCACCATGTCCATTGCTCCCCAGTAAGAAAGATTGGTAGGATGATGGCCAGAGTGAGGGAGCAGGGGAGAAGGCAGAGCTGTGAAAGCCAGAAGAAGCTCCAGATGACCAAGCATAAGAAACTGACTACTGTGCTGGGGTGGTTAATTGTTTGCACTGTTTCCAGATCCATCCCAGTTAGCACTTTTGTCCCCTTCCATCACCTGTGTTGCCTCAGAGGTACAGCATTCCTAGAAGGAAAGCATTCCATAGTGTCAGGAGGCCACTCCTTTATGGTTTAAATCCCACTATGAGTTAGCTTTTACATATTTAACTCAGATCTTTTCATTGTGGTTTCTTTAATATTCTAAGCCAAGCATTAGTAGTTTTCTGTGGAAAACAGGAATATGCCGGTCAAACAAAAATAATTTCACTTCTCATGCTGTAAAGGTGTAAGACTCTCAGTTCTGAGAGCTGGGGTTATAACTCAGTGGTAGAGCACTTGCCTAGCATGCTTAAGGCCCTGGGTTGAATCCTCAGCACTACAAAAAAAAAAAAAAAAAAGAGAGAGAGAGACCTTTACCTCTGAGTCTGCAAATTCTCCCTAAAAGAACCTAGCTTTGTATGCCGAGTGGCAAGAATTTTGAAGTTGTAGCACCATATTTCAATTCATAGCAATAATACCAAACATGACTCATTAATTTATATGTTCAAAAACTTCATTGTACAGACATTGTGATGAAAAGATGGGTAAAGGGAGTCTAGTGAGGCCAGAGAAGCCAGCAGTAGGTATAGTATGTGACCTGTGTGCTGACAGCAGGTGTGCACAAGGGTACTGGGAGTCCATAGAAGTGCCTAACCCAGCCTGCCTTGTGTCTGGTCCCACTGAGCTCCCAGCATGGAGTCAACCAGAGGGACAGATGGGCAGGGATTATAGAACAGAGTGGGAAAAAAGCAGGTGGAAAAAAGGCATTCACTAAGAAACCCAGTTTGTTCTTCAGATTATTATATGGATCAAAGTAACTTTCAGATAATTATATGATTTTATTATCCCAACTTTTCTCATTATGTGACTCAGTATATAATATACATCTCCTTATTCCTAGTCCTGCCACATTAAATATCATATTTTTATTAATTCTGACTTCATCTGTTTTTTTGTTACTAGAGTCATCATTTTAATATGTCAGTTCTAATTTTTATTTTTCTTTGCATTATTTTCATTTTCTTTTTGAATTTTAAAGCAGTGCCTTTTACCTGCTGTTTTTAGTTTGATCTATTATAATTGCCAAGTCTTGTGAGGCTTCCATCAATCTTCATAAATATGTGAATAAACATATGCAAAATTTGTATATTTGTATAGGTGTCATGAGAAATCCAGCACCTAATCTAAGCTGTGCCTTAAGAGAACATGAGAGTTGTTTCTAAAAAAAACTATAATACTAAACAAATATCACAAGGTACACCTGACTACTCAGAAACTAAAATTGTGCTTTCCAGAAGCTGTGACAGCACTGGAATATTTAAAAAAGAAAGAAAAATGTAGAGTGTGGTGGTGCATGCCTATAATCCCAGCTATTTATGAGAATGAGTCAAGAGAATCCCAAGTTGGAGGCCAGTCTCAGCAATTTAGCAGGACTCTCAGCAATTTAATGAGACCCTGTCTCAAGAAGAGCTGGGGATGTGACTCAATGGTAAAGCGCCCCTGGGTTCAATTCCCAGTACCAAAAAGAAAAAAAAAAAAAAAAACCCTATTGCTGAATAAAAAATATATGGAGTGTGCTTATTTTGAAAACAAAAACTAGTTCATACTGTCAGCTGTTATTGAGCTTTCCAACTGAAACTCTGCAAGTAAAAAAAAACAAAAGGGGCGGGTGGAGAGGAGTCCATAAATTTTGAGAAGCAGAGTTAAAAATGAATGACCAGTGAGACTGATTTTTACTGTTGGATATGGGTTGAAATTAATATTGAAATCATTAAGGTTTGGGGTTCACATATTTTAAAAAGCAAAGTAGTGGAGGGGGAGTGAAGGTCTGGTGTCTTGTTCCTGGTGGCCTATTTGCACGCAGGAAAACTCTATTGGTGATTTTCTGTGGGTAGATCTGAATCATGCTTTAATGCTTTTTATGGTAGGATTAAAGCACATGGCCTGCTCTTTCTACATTATCCTTTCATTTTTCACATAAAATCATGTATAATTCTTCATGTCTGAGACTGTCCTCTCAGTTGTTTAGGCATATGTCCTCTGAAAGCTTTATTTTTCTGCCTTAAAAGCTTTATAAGTGGTATCCTCAATCACACCATCTAATTCTGTTCAGGCCATTCTTTCAAACTGCCCGATCTTGAGTGCTGTATCTCTTTGGCTTTCTCTCCTCTAAGCTTTAGTTTTATATTTCCTAGGAGTGGTGAGGGTATCATTTGTTCTTATTGGTTCAACTCTCCCTTTTCGATGTTGTGGATTCCACATTCCCAGCTACTCATAAGGCAGCAGCTGGTGCCCTTTTGCCTGAATCTCAACTTCTGTACAACTTAATTGTGCATTTATCTCGCACTCTCAAACTGAATTGTCATGATAATATCTGTGTCCTAATCATTTGCACTAGTTCTTTTCTGGCTTCAAGAAATTATTTCGTGGTGATTTGGGAATCTGAGGCAGGAGAATTACAAATTCAAGGCCAGCCTGGACAACTGAGCAAGACCTTGTCTCAAAAATTTTTTAAATAGATGGGAGGGGGTGAGGTGCTGAGGATGTAGCTTGGTGGCAGAGTATTTCTTTTTTTAGCCATTTTTTAAATATTGTTGCAGCTAGAGGCACTGGGTTCTTTCTGACTGCTATTGGGTCTTTTATAAACTGAAACATTCTCTCTTTCATGGCTGGAGCACGACTGCCCACTGACTAGACTCCATTCTGGCTTATTGGGCCACTTGTAACAACCGGTTGTCAGTTTGGACTCAGCCTCATCTTATAACTAGGGCTTCATCTACCTTATCCCAGTATGTGTGTAGAAGTTGACATACTCTATCCCCACATTCTTTAAGTCACAAGTATAGGTGCTTCTGTCTTCAGAACAAATTTTATATCCATGCTTGTATATTTACTACCGCTGCCATCATCCTAGTCCTGGCCTTAATCAATTTATTTCTTAGTCACTGAAATTGCCCTACAGTTTCTTTATTCCTCCAGCTATAGTTAGTGCTAGTCCTTCTTTTCAAAGCCTTCCCAGGAAAACTTCATCATCTACCCCTTCAGAAAATCCTATCAGTTTTTTGCTAAATGCTCTATCTTACATAACTATTGTATTTTCATGCACATTCTATTTTTTATTTTACACTTTACTCACTTTTTTTAGATTTAAATTTTATGCAACTTCCTGGTTATACATGTTTTAAGCTTATAAAGGATACAACCATGGGCCACACAGAGTGGTGCACCCCTACAACCCTAGATACTTGAGAGGCTAAGTCAGGAAGATGGCAAGTTCAAGACCAGCCTGGGCAACAGACCCTGTCTCAAAGTTAAAAATGGGCTGAGTGTGTAGCACAGTGGTAGAGCATGCCTGGGTTAAATCCCCAGTGAGAGAGAGAGAGAGTGAGTAAAAGAAAGAAAGAAGGAAGGGAGGAAAATTAAAAAAGGACTATGGGTATAGCTCTGTGGTAAAGCACTGGATTTGATCCCGAGCACCACATTAAAAAAGAAAAGAGTCTTTCCATGGTTTCTAATTCTCTGTACCCCTGTACATAGCACAGTGCTAAGTATAAAGCACATTTAATAAATATTTGCTGACCTTCCTTACTCTACAGAATTTGATGCAATAATAATAGA